GAAGTTATTTGGACTTTTTAATAGCTAAACTTACATCTTTATTTTAAAAACCTCAAATACTGATTTGTTGATTCTTTTATTAGTTAGAGCCAGCCCATTGTAGAATGAAATCCAGTACTTCAAGTAAAATGAAGTAGAATGTTATTCTACTTGTAATGTTTCTTGCATTGATTTTACACCCTAGCCAGGAATATTATGTATGTACTCATGTAAGGCTATTTTTTACTTTCTTTATTTTTACCATGAAATTCATTCTTCAACATGAGAAAAAAACAAAATGCAGAAAAAAAAGGCAAAGCAAACCAAAACAAGCACAAAACAAAACAAACAAACATAAAACAAAACAGAAAAAAAAAAAGCAAACAAAAAACCAAAACCCCAACCCCCAGATGTACAATAATAAAAAGAAAGGTTTACACAGCCTGCATTAGTATTTCTATTTTATTAAAGGGAAAACTGAGGAATAAGTTTTGTATGTTGTGTCCTAACCTGAGCTCTCTGTATAGGATCAGGCCTTTTGCCAAAGGTGTAGCTGAGGTCAGGCTTTTGTGTTCCCTGCAGTGCCCATATGCTGTGTGGAAGGTTTAAGTTAGGCCTGGCTCTCTCTGGTCCCAGTTTACATTTAACTGTCCCCATTTCCATGTGGGAATTGACTTTGCTGTCACTGCTCTCCTAGAGGATATTCTGATGTAAATTAATGAACATCAGTACTAACGGCACGTGCTAGAATTGACATGGTATTTTAATACATGTTTTTGGGGAGATAGAAAGTATTTCATAGGACTGACAAATCCCTCTTTCCCAGATCTTTAACAGTGCCCAGTAGATGATATTTATAGAAAGAAAAGGGGTAAATATGGGGTGATCTTTCTAACACACTTCCTATGTTCCAGGTGCAGATCCCATAGTAGCCATTATCTATAATAGGCATGGTTACCACTACGAAGTTGTTTATCCTATTTTGAAGTTATTAATAGTTTTTGACCCATAGAATCTTACAGCACCAGGTTCCACAACCAGGCATTTCTTGAAAAAATATTTATTCCGTTAATTTTCAAGCTGGTTCCTTACCATTTTATTAAGAATCAGTTTGTTCCTGTGTTATTGTTCCCTCATCCCTCATCATCTTTTCCATACCGTTTGTTTAGACCTCTGTCATAACTTCCTTTATTTGTGTTGAGATAGTTTAATTACTGTGTCCTTGCAGTAAAGTTTTATTTGTCTTTTTGTTCTTCTGAGTCTCCTCTATTGTACTCTTAAACCATGATGAAGTTTTTTTTTTTTGGGGGAGAAGGATTAGAGCTCTGAACACTTAGTCAGCAGGCTGTTTCAAATAATACGTTATTTCCTTGAAAGGATTTCACCCTTTCGGTGCCTTCTTTATTTCCTTTTAGTAAGAGTAATTTATATGCAATTTTTTGTTTCTTAAACTGTATCAGTATTCTGACAGCATTTTGTAACTTTTTTATAATCTATATTCTAACACCCAGTTACATAACAGCTCTGTGGCAAACACACTATTTATAAATCATTTAGATCACTTTTTATTTGGTTTTGAACAGTGTGTAGCCTCTGGGAATAATGAAGGAGCCAGTGCTACGTGACTTGTCAGCCTTATAGGGATCTTCTGGTGTTTCTGTCTAGTCTGCCTATAATTTATGGGCCTCCCAATGAAAAATACAAATCTAACATATATGGGGGTTTATGCTTCACAGTCGCAATGTATTTCAGAAAGGCTGTTTTATCCTCTTGGTTTAGCTGCTGCCCAGAATATTTTGTGCTGGTTAGCAAGGCCATCTAAGAGCTGAGGTAGAGTGCAGATTATTCATGTCTGGTCTGAAAATAATTTTAAAGAGATCTAATTAGATAGGGGCTCATTTTCCCCTGCATTTCCAAGCCATTTCCCAGAGTATTTCTAAGGCATGATTGGGGTTGTTAGCACTTCACCATATGTATAAAATGCAAAACAAACTACCTACATAGTTAGGCCCAGCTCTGTGATCCAAAACATCCATTCTGATGCTGAACACATAGTATAAATTCTAATTGCAAGTACATGTTTGAGATGAAATAAATACCATGTAGAAGTTCTGTCTGCACAGAGGACAGTGCCAAGAGCTTTGTTTGATTTCATTGGGAGTAGAATTCTGTCTCCAGTGTGTTTTTCCTGCTTCTGATTGAGACAATGTGGATTAAATTAATTTAAACATACTTTGAGACAATAGAATAATAATTTATTTCCACAATTGTCAGTTGTATGGATCATACAGGAGGGAAAGCAGCCAAGACGTGCTGACATATTTCTGACTTCTAAGAAGGGAACATGCTGTTAATTTTTTTTCTTCAGAGCAGACATTGCAGGCCATGGACTCTGATTTTTCATGTCAAAAAAGGTTTAAGGTTCATATGTTTTAAAAATCCTTTATAGTCATGGAGCTATTTAAAAGTGTACACCTCTTATTTGTTTTTTACATACTGTGATCATAGGGTATTTTGTATAGACTGGGAAATAGCAAATCTATTTTCTCAATTCAACACATTTTTTAGTGAGGACATTTAAATTAATTTTTGAATTCCCTTAATTCCTAAATTAAATTTTGAATTCCCTTAATTCCTGCTGCAATGGGTACCTTATTTTAAATAAAAATGAGGCAAAAAAAGCCTTTGGGAACTCAGACTCTTAGGCATTTTTCTTGTTTATTTGTTCTCACCATACTTCTGACTTCTCACCGTACCATTGAGTGCCTTTCTCTTTTTGAAGCAAATACAAGTCTTGTGATAAAATGTACATGATGTTAAATGCAAATTTCCTGAAATATTTATAAACTTGTGCTTGCTTCTGTTTGTGTAAATCTATCACTTGTGTATTTTCCCATTCAATCTGTCCTTGCAGCTGTATTTGTTACAGCTAAAAGAAGCCTTTAGGAGCCCCCCTGCAGCTTTCCTTTAGTTATAGGACACACCTCAAGTGCAATATAACAGTCTAAAAAAAAAATGCAGGTCCTAAAACCCAGTGAAGGTAACAGTGGACTTCTGAATTCGCAGTCTTAGCAAGAGATGTTCCTTTGTGGCAAACGAGTTGGATTTTGGCAGAAGGATTTGTTTATTGCAGTGGGACTTGCACAATGAGGCTCCATGCAGGCTGATGCAGCCAGGGAACATTCCTGGACACTGGCACTGGCTCCTGCGTGCTGTTGAATGCTTAGCACATTGCACAGTTAACACTCTCCCAAACCCTTCCCAGCACAGCTCAGCAGTTTGTTGGGCTCTCTTCCCAGCAGGTGCTTTGGCCAAGCCCCTCGGGATGGGAAGGTTGAACCGTGTGGCTGCGGACTCTTCCCAGCCAGCGGGGCTTCCACGGAGCCCATGGCCCTGCGATGGGCCGGGGTGCTTGTGGCTCTCTGCTGGCAGAGCTGGGGACAGGGGGCACAGGGCTCCTACTCTGCAGCTACTGACTGAGCTGACAGGGGAATCAGAGCTCCCAGTTTTGCCTGGACATGGCTCCTCTGAGAAGTGTCAGACAGAACATAAGGACTGCTGGTGCTTTCTGTTGTTCAGACCATCAGCTGAACGTGTCCATAGCAGGCTCAGTACCTCTCAAACATCTGAAGCCTCCTAAGCCCATTCTGCTCCAGTGGATCCATGGATTGCCATTATGTGTGCTGTGTAAGAAGCAAGGTGGCACACTCTGCATGTATAGGTTGTTTTTACAGAGAATACAGTAAAAATGATGTATCCCCTCTTCACAGTTCTCACTATGTATGTGTTATGCACCAGTTTTCTCATATTTCTCTTCATTTTATGAATGGGCATAAAATGCTAATTCCTCCAGAACTTGTTTGCATTATACCTCACCATAGTTTTTTTTTTTTTTTTTATTTAGTCTTGCGTCTTTAACTTTGAAGAATTTGTATTTTTGTCATTGTCCATTTAATGGTTGTACAATGTGCACAGTTAAGATCCCCAAACTAATCCCTTGCTAGGTGTTCTCAGTCAATGAGGTGGAATTTTTTAAAAATTTATTTCTTTATTTCCTAAATTTGTTCATCTGTACATTTATTTGTGAAAATTGTGTGACAGAGTAAATGAAAGGAAATGAATGGCAAAATTTCCTTTGCCAACTACCTTCTTTGAAATGACATTTGAAAAACATGTATACTGATATTTATAAAATATCAGAGCCTGTCAGTATATCAAGACAAAGGACTCTCATGCTTTTAAGTCCCAGTATAGATGTAGAGGGAAAGATCTATGAAATTTCCTTCTAGTAAGAAAAACATTTGTGGTAACAGAGCTTGGTGATGCTATTTTTGTATTTGACATAACCAGTCATTGCTGGGCTTTTTAGTTGTGAATAATACAAACATTCTAGACATCCAGGAAATACCTCTGTACTTTTTCATCCCAGTACGTAATCCTTGTCATTGCCAAATCTACTGAGTTTTCTGTAAGCAAATCCAGGTGACACAGGCACTGATGTGCATCATGACTGCTGAGGAAGAGTCAGAAAGGAGGAAAATGGTCTGAACCTGCTGTCACTGAAGTAATAGCACAATTCTTACCTTGGACCCAAGGCAGGTTTTGGGAAGCTTGAATTGTTAGAGTTTACCTACAGCAAGCAGGACTTGGGGTGCATTGAGTGCAGAGTTTGCTTGGCTGTTTTCCCTAAATTACTGTACCTTTCAAGTCCCTTGAGAGTAGTGTCACTTCTTTTTTCATGGTACACCTGCTCTTAAATGACATGCAAATGTTTCAGAAAGTAAAAGAAGAACATGTAAACACAAATAGAAGACATCACTGTCATATTTTCCAAGTTACTTTATTTAGCTCATGTTTACAGATGAAACCGGGTGCCAGAAAAGAGCCACTGCATCCCACATTATTAATTATACTCCGGCTTCCAAGGAAAAATTTTATCAGTAGACTTTAGTAATATTTGGACCAAAAATACATGGATGTGCAGCTTTGAGCATTTTGTACCATGTAGGATGCAGCCTCTCTCACAGGTCCTCTGTTTCTGGAACGGGATTGGATTCCGCAGGCTGAATGAACACTACTGGGATATTCTCGGATGTCCATCCTTTGGGAGTCCTGTTGAAGGATCTTCTGGCAGCAAGAGGGTTTGCAAGGATCATGAATCTGGGATCGTTTAGCATCAGCATATTATAATCTGGTACCTTGAATTTAACCAGCTTTGATGCTCTCTCAAAACCACCAAAGGGAGTAGCAACTCTGTAGATATCAGAGAAATAAAAGTTAAATGTGATTTTAAAAATACTTGTTTTCTTTCCCTCCCAGAAGCTGAAAAAAACAGATTTTTGTTCCAGTTTCTTGTTTACGTTTTCAAGCTCCAGAAAAAAACCATTCTGTTTGTTTTTCTGGGAAATGCTCTTTAAGATCTGATTAATTTCCCCTTAGATAGAGCTTGCAGCCTTTTCAAAAATTCAAATGGATGGAAAAGCCAAGAGAAAAAGACGTTACAAGAAAACCGTGTAATTGGTGAGTCACAGTTACTAAACTTATTTCGTTGGTGATAAGTTGATAAGTCTGAAACTGTAGCTCAACACATTCTCTCTAGCAAGTAATTAGTTCAGAAACTTCTCACCCCATTTTCTCCTCTCCTCAGCTGCTTGTTCCTCCCACTACACTGTGTTTCAGCACCATATTGTTGTACCAGTTAGAATGTATGTGGGTTGTGCTGTAAACCTGGGTCACTTCTGTGATCGGGGTTAAAAAAAGACCCTTCAAAACAGAGGAGCACTTCAAAATCCAAATTATTTCAGCAATCTAGTTTATATCAGTATGCTCAAACGATTGTAGCAATACAAGTGAAGAGGAGTGGAGCTTAATGAGTGAAGCAGAAAGGAACAGCCAAAGACAACAGGCTCTGGAAAGGAGGGGATGGGTGAGGACTTGATACACCAGCTTTGTTTCTGAAGAAAATGTTTATGTAACTAAACCTTGAAACACTGTTCAGCCAGTATTTTTCATGTTATTTGAATGTAGATTTCCCCCCAGGCAGTAAGCCTGAGAAACTGGAAGATAAGGAATACTAAACTGGAGTTGACTGTTAGATGCATTTGCAAATACTTTAAAACAACAGTATTTCCAAATAGCTCCCCTGATCTTCTGTATATACAGGTTTCAGACTGAAAAAAAACCTTTGAGTTTTCCTGTCACTTCTTCCAGCCTCCTTTGGACAAACAAACAGACTATGGTATGTGCTCTGCATTTTGATCAGCTGCATAACTTGGCTGGAATATATTCTAGCCACTGAAGACTGTCAGATTTTTAAATTGCACAAGAGCACCTGGTTTCTGCAAAAACCAAACATTTTATAGCATGTTTATGGGAAAATGAATTTTTGTTGAAATGGAATTTCACCAGCCTTGGTATATTTGGTGTGTGGTACAGAACAGCAGATCTCATGGAATGTATTTCCAGTGGCTCCAGGTATTTTAGCAGAAGTCCAGAGCAATTAATACCAACAGAAACTAAAAGAGATCGTTTGAAGATCTGTCCAGGGTTTTCAGCAGGATAAAACCCCTAAGTTTTGTACTAAGAATGAAGTACACGCACAAAAAGAAGAGATTAGTTCAGAAAAATGAATTTGCGACATGAAAGAAATGGTGCTGCTCTCTCATTACATGGATGATTCACTGCATTTTGGTATGAGCAGCATTTGTTGAAGGGGATGGTGTTAACTCCAAAGCATCAATCCTGGGAGATATAAAAAATCATGCAAGCTCTGGGCATGCATCCTCACTGAGAGAAGAACACTGCTTTAGATTAAGCTCTAAAAATGTGTCTCAAATGATGATAAGACAAGATGTTGCAGCACCAGCAGCCAGTCCAGGCATTAAACTCTTTTCAGGTCAAAAGAAATTGTTTGTCCAAAGTTGGTATCGAGCCTGTGGTATCAAGTTTTTCTTGTGGAGCTGTCTTCTAGGTCACAGTGTCAACATGGATACCGTACGATACCGATTGAAAATAATTGCTTGGTAATTGGCACGGAGTGAATGTAGTGATCTACATCTCACCGGATAATAAATATTGTTTTAATTGCTGCCCTAATTACGATACACATTCTCACATTGTTGTGATGTTTAATTATCACTGATGTGTATATTAAAAGGATAATCAAAATAAACAGAATTGTAATAGTTTTATAATTTGCAAAACAATTCTGTTGTTTAAAACATCCTCTTTGTAGTGTTTATGGGTTTTATATAGAGCATATTCCTGTATGTAACAGAAACAGGAGGGCTTTCTTTGGAAGTTCAAGTCTCTTTTGTGGCAAAATACACCCCACCCACCCCCCCCATAGTTGCTATACAAAGTCTGGCCTCAGAGAATTCTGCATTCCTGCCTTATAGGCAGGGGCACATGACGATTGACAGAAAGGAGAGTACAGTAATTGGCTAAGAGATGTTGATTTTCCTTTACAGCAGCAGTAAATATGGTCTTGTGAGCAATAACTTGTCTGACAACATGGTGTTGTAATGACCTCTGTTGTGTGCACATCAGCTGTGCTACTTGAGCTCTGATTCATTGTATAGAAGCCTAAATCTCATGCCTAAAAAATTCCAGTTGTCGTTGCTCATAAGGGCGGAAATGCTGGTTCAGAGCCATAGGAAATAGTGCCAGGAAGTGTAACAGATTGTTTAGTATTCACTTTGCATATTCCTAAAAAGTAGATGCTTGATTTAACAATAGCAGGTACAATCATGTTTATTTTTACCTGTCATTTTAACAGGAATCCTTTTTCATTTTTTACCTTTAGTCTTTCTTATTGAATATTATATTGTCTCAACATAGGAGACTGCTTGTAGCTAATGATTTGGGAAAGTCGAAAAAAATGTTTTAACTGCATTAGATTAGCACCTCTGGTTACATAATCACAAAAAATGTGAGTTTCACATTTTGAAGTGGGATCATCATTCATAGAACATTTTGTTTATCATTAATTATGCAAAAAAATGAGATGTAGGAGGAAAGAATCTGACCCTGCAAAATGCTCAGAGCTTCATAGGATCTTAGTGCAAGAGCTAATGCTAATTTCACAGAGGTATTTGGGTGCTAAGGAACTGGCTAAGCACCCAGCTCCCACTAATATCACATCACTTGAAGTTAGCACCCAAAATTCCTGGGAGACTCTGGATCTTATATACATTTTAAAATAGACTTCAAGATGCATGAATCAATGAAAACAGGGCCCAGTCTGGATGGACTGAATTCCTGTTGGGCTTTTGAATGAGTAGTCTTTGGGAATTGAGAAAGCTGAGTAGAATTTGTCTGGTAGGAGAGGCAGAACTAGTCTGACTTGCTTGTCCTAAGTGAGTAAGATGTGGTGCTTTGTATGTTACTCATAATCCTACCTTTGACATTTTATCCAGCTCCAAGAAAGCAGATGGAAAAAAGGTACTAATTTAAGTAATATTATAAACTCCTTAGCAAATGCAGATTCATGCTGCTTTCCCACAGATTCATTACTTGGTGCTTCCATACTGGTAAAAGAGACAAGAAATTTTTTCACTAGCAAATGCTTCCTCAATCCTAATAGGAATGAATCTCCAAGAGAAGCCAGATGGCATGGTCTGTTCTGCTGTTTTTCTCTGCTAGCACAGATTGGTTTTATCTCTGAGGGGGACAGAGAGTAGCCTGGTGTGCACAGTGTGTTGTTCAGAGCCCCTCAGAGCCCCACTCGCCTCTGCCCAGTGCTGTGCTGTCAGAGCACCGCTGCCAGTCTCACAGACAGCCCTGCCTCCCAGCACAAACCCTCCTGACATTTGCTGCCACAGCTCTTCCTCCAGTGATCTGCCAGCATTGCACGGTCCCTGCAGCTTAAAATGAATACTAGACTCCAAAAAAATTCCTCTATGAATTCCTTATGTGTTTTTAAAAATTCCTTAGTGTTATAAAAATTGCACTGCTGCAGGGTTCACAGTCACCTCTTCACTGCTGGACAGTGGGGAAAACAATCTGGATGCTGTTTAGTGCTGAAGTGCTTTTATCTGTGAACGTGTGCCTCAGTCCCAACACATCAGACCTCCCTACCTGCTCAGGTTGTGCTGCTTTTCCAGTTTGTTGTGTAACAAGGAAAGCTGAAAGGAGCCTGAAATGATTTGTAAAGTCTGAGTGCCACTTCATCAGACGCCAGTGAATGAACCGGGAGGGATCCCAGGCCCATTTCCCTTGGGAATCCTGTGGCTCACACTTGCTGCTAACCACACCCCTCCTGACTAATGGTGACTGTAGCAGTGCTTTGCAGGAGAACAAACACAATGGCACTTTACTGGTTGATTAAGCAGGATGGAAAGCCTAGATAGATACCCTCACTGATAACAAAATGATGCCATTATATCACACTTTAATTGTTTAATACAGTATAATTTGCTTTCTCTCCAAGACTGCAATTAGGCAAGCCAAGGATGCTGTGACCTAGATGCACAGAATGACTTAATAGGATCTAGACACAGAAGTCCAGCTGGTCTTCTTCTCTTGGATAGTTTGGCATGGCAGTGTGCTGTTTTAAATCCCATCATTAAACACTCTCCTGTGCATTTTTAGGAGTGTAGACATCTAAGTCATGGCTGTGAAATCCTCTCCAAGAGATGAGTATCTTGAATTTTAATTTTTCAAATTCTCAAAATTTTTTTGAATCTGCTAGAAAACATAAGTCTGACTGTAGCATGTAACTTTTCTAGGACTACCAGGCATCCTTTTCTACTGGATATCAGTTTTTTTTCCATGGAAAGAAGAGTTGTGGTGGACTATGTTATATATTTTTTGGTTTGAACTTTACCAGTTTCACAGTCTGCATCTGGATTTATGTGCCAAATTTTAGAGTTTTATGGCAGTTACAAGAGAGAGTATTTACTTTTCCCTTATAAGAATGCACATATGTTCAAGAAATTCAGACTGGTGAGCCACAGTTCTGCCATGTCATACACAGAGAAACTCCATGTCGAAAGAAATCCACATAATTGGTGTTGTGAAGAGGGCAGCTAACAGAACACAGGGCCACAGAGACAGCCTTAAAATCCACAAAAAAGCCATCAGACACCATCTCAAGGCAGATATCCCTGTTAATGGAGTCTCTGTGCCCTGTCTGATGCTGTCCTTCACAATAATGACTAGCACCTCTTGTGAGAGGGAGAACTGATTCTGTCTCCATGCATTTGTATCTTTAGCATTTTTCCTTGGGCTCTTTTTTTTTTTTTTTTAATTTTTTTTTTAAGGTTACAATAAGCACAGTACATAAACTGTGGTGTTACTGTTCTGATGGTGGCAGCTGTGGCACTTCTCTGACTTGCATTTGCTGTTTTGTCTGCCATGGCAATGGATATTGCTGCTAGGAAATCAGAGCTAATGCAGTGTGTGCAGTGCCAATTTTGATGCTGAATTGTGTAATGTTTTAGACCTTGCACTCATAGTTGGGGCCCACATCAACATCAGGAACACAAGTGATGTTTGTGGTATATTTCTCTAAGTTTGTATTTGTAGGGGGATAGAATATAAGTAAATAAAGGTGGTATAGAAAGTAATCTTACCCCCTAAAGAGTTGCAGCTGGGTTAATTATTAAGGATTAGGAGCAGGCCTGACTTTAACAGGCCCCAGCTGTAGCCAATAATAAGAAGAGTGTTATAAAAGAGTGGATTGGTTGGTGGAGGGGAACTGGAATCAGTTGGCTGCTGTGAGGAAGAGTCAGTGCTTAGAGGAGCTGTCTAGGAAAAACATCAAGGAAGTAGGAACCTCTAACAATATGCAACCTTTGCAATATTGTGACAATAGAAATCTTGCAATATAATAACAACATGTATTGCCATGAACAATTTTGTTTTTCAATAGATTGCTGTCTGGCCTTTTGAGGAGGGGTTTTGGTTTGGCTCAGCTGTCTGGAACTCAGCAGGGTTGTCCATTACTTCAATAAATAAAAATAGTGTAAATGGAATGATAGAAGGCAAAAGACATGAGTAAGAATTTGCTTTCAAGCTTTAAAAACCCAATGTTGTCCATGTATCTAGTTCTACTGAAAGCCATGATACACTAGTTACTATCTAAGTAAAACAATGTTTAAGCTGTTAATTTATTGCTGAGGGTTGTCAAATAAATGAAAAATGTTATACTGCATTAACAGAGAAATCTTCTAGTCATTTAGCGTGAGGGATTGGTTGTGGGATAAAGTTCATTGCACCATCATTGCCTAAAACAAAGCCGTGTGAGTTGTATTAAAAAACAAAATAGAAGAAGAGTACTTTGCATTATACAATTTAGAAACAAAGTTCTGACTGAGAGATCTGACAATACCATGGTTAGTGAAGTCAACAACAGGCACCCTGAAAGGAATTTTAAGCTCCTATTTCCCATTTATTGAGTACACTGAATCACAGAATCATAGAGTGGTTTGGGTTGGAAGGGCCTTTAAAGATGGTTTAGTTCCAACCCACCTGTCATGGGCAGGGGGACCTTTCACTAGACCAGGTTGCTGAGAGCAGCCTCGCCTTGAACACCTCCAGCAATGGGCATCCACAACTTCTCTGGGCACTGGATTCTGATTCTTTCTTTCTTTCAATATTTTTAGCAATTTATCTTCTGTTCCTAGTTCTAGAGTTTGAATTTGGGCCCATACTTTAGAGATGGACTAATTTGCTCCTTAATGCTTTTGTTTACCACTTGTAATCTCTGTTTGTGTTCATGTTTATGCATACACTTGCAAACACCGGTGGTAGGGTTTTTAAAGCTGGTAGAAACATTTTATTCCACAGTAATTTTCCTCTGGTCAGAAAAAATTCCGCGTTCGTTTAGGATTACCTGTTAAAGCTCCTGTAGTCAGGCAGTTCTGGCTTTGCTTCAGGTGCAAAAAGTTTAGGATATAAAGCTTCCAGCAGTTCTGGATCATCCCTAATGGCTTCTATCCAGGGAGACTGGTAGTACTTTGGCACAGCAGTAGTGTTAAACTTTTCAGGAGGAATTTCTTTCAGTGGTCCAGAATATCCTGCAATGTGGTCAAGGTAAAATGATTATAATGATTCTTTGTGTTTTCTGCTTCCTTGCCACCATCCTGTGCAAGCAGGAACTAACACAGCAGAACTTCTCAGTGAGTTAAAATGAACAGTTGGGCCAAGTCACCAGGCTAGAGCTATACAGAAAGAGAGATCTGGCAGGGTAAATTTGTAGCCTTTTAGACAGATAACTCCTCCAAAGTATTCCAACTTCTTTTGAGGCTGTGTTTATTTTGGTCTTTTTTATAAATTTGTTCCTATTATTTTCAAAATCAATTTGAAACCAGAGAATCTTTAGGCTAAATTAACAGATTTTAAACGAGATTTTAAAAACAGACTGTTGATTAAAAATAAGATAATTCTACCTCTTTGAGTGAAATTTTCTACAAGTACATCTACATCTAGGTCTCTAAATGAATGCTGTTTCATTCTATAAGCTTGAACTTCCCTGTGGCTTAATATCTACTCTGACCAGACCTTTTTTGCCTAAAGAAAGGCTTGAAGATTTCTATCATGTCTTAGCAATGGAAATTACCTCTGTTTGCATTGTGTTTGGCCAAAGGATGCACAGAGCCTCAGCAGACACCAGCAGAGCAGGACTGACCTAGTTTACATGGACTGGAAAAGGTCTGCACAAAACATGCATTGAGTAATTCTGAACAAAGAATGAATTTGTAAAAACCACGGTCTGCTCATGGATAATTCATAAACAGGAAGAAGGGCTATATCACTGAATAAATTAATTAAAACAAATTAGCCTTCTCTAGTCTTTAAAGAATACAAAATAAAGCCTTCTTGTAACTCACTCCTTTAAATAAAGCCAAGAGTACCCTCACAGTTAAGGATTTAAAAAAGAACAGTTTATGCAGCCAGAGGCAAATTCCTTCCAAAGTTACTCCTCTCTAAAGGGTTCCAGCAAAATTTAGTGGCTTCAGATTTGCATTTATGGATAATTAAACTACAATGGATAGCTTGCTGACTGTTGAGCAGGGTGTTGCATGTTGGAAACAATGGTTTGACAAAGAAAAATCAATATATAAACGTAGTTTTAAATCAAAGGATCTCTTTTTTAGTGTTTTTAAGACCTGTATATATAGGAGCAGCCTCTCTTGATACTAAGTGATGTTTTCAGTTTAGAGAGAAGTAGTACAAAAGGTATATCAAATCTTTTTAAAATGAACACAAGCAGCTAAGAGCATCCCTTTACATTTCTGGGAGAAGTTCTGATTAGTTACCTGACTCAAATGTGTGTATTTTAATATTAGTCCATTATCTTCTTATTGAAGATACTGCCTTACTGGTCATTTCTTTGCTGGTCAGTGAGGCTGAGTGTAGTCAGTGTCTGCAGACTCCCACCACGTTACCTGGGGCGATGTTGTCAGGGTGTGGAGGGCTCCGGGGGTCAGGTGTGTTGGGAGGTGTCATGGGGGCGTGCTGGGGGATTCCTTCCACACTGAGGCCGTCCATTCTGACACTCTGGATGGGCTCTCCACGCTGCGTTCAGACAGAAGAAAATAGCACTTCAGGCATGGCATTCTCTGGGGAGGCTGCACCAGTGCTCTGATTTACAGCCCAGGTCTGATTTCTAGCATGCACAATACTAAAGCACACTGTGCTGCTGTTTGGTAGAGTATTCCCTTCACACTTACATTGTCTAAGTAACCAAAAATGAGCTTTTCTTTGGGCACTAGACACTAGAAGCTGTTCTGTGCCAGACAGAGCACCCATGCTACCCAAAGGGTCAAGAAATTTGGCAAGTTTGAACCCTTTGAGTTTCAAAGGATTGATTCTTCAAAGCGTCTCTTCCCATATCAGTTGAAAATTTGCTGCATTTGTTGAACTGCTTTTGTTTGGGATTGTCTTTTCCTTTATTTGTAGTAGAAATAACAACTTCAGTGCAGGTCACTTTCTGGAGATTCATGATATGCTGTTATTTTCCACCCTCCTATTGGGATATCGGTTCTAAGGAAACATCTGAAGGCTTAATCATTGTTGCATAAATATAGAATTAGAGTCTCATAAGAAGTCAGCATCTTATTTTAGCCATGACACATAGGCTAAAAGCAATTTAAATATAGACTGGTTTAGAGTAAGAATTTCTTGAATAGGAAAACAAACAAATAATACTTGTTTAAACTTGAAGCAACAACAAAAAAAGATCAAGGCAGAATGTTTTCTAGTCATCCTGAAGTATGTTAAAAAGATCAACTTTGGCAGGCAGAACCCTAAAGATGATGCAGACACCACCAGCAGTGCTAAATAGACACTTAGGGGAGGGAACCGGAGCCAGAGGCATAGATTTTTCATGTGTTGGAATGTCATACTGACTGTACACCAAGTGTACCCTGTGGTTTTGAGGGGGAAAAGTGGACTAGAGGGAAATGGATCTGTCAGACTGTAGCAAAATCATGGAATTGCATACAGAACTCTGACAAGATTGATGGTGTGCTCAGAATTTATCTGTGTAGCTTCTAATACTCAATAGAGGGAGAAATGGGGGGACAGTATTAATAGATGGGCTTTTAAATGATAGTGTTTAATAATAGCCTTGGGTGCTCAGTGGAGTTATTCAGATTTTTTATATGGGATTTCTTTTGTGCCACTTTATTTTAAAAAGGCAGATTAATCAAAGCTCAAACTGGATCTCATTTTATCCCAGTGTAATTTAACTTCTGTTGAGCAAGTGATCAAAGACAATGGAAATATCTATACCATATGAAAATAAATGTAAATTTATTTTCTTGTCTATAGGATCTCATTTAATAAAATACAATTGGCTCATTTCTTCTTAGCCTCACTCTAGGATTTTGCTTTTATTTTTCCTGAAACCACAAGTAAATCATACAAAATGTGTATCATGAGCACCAAAGGAACCTGATGTAGAACCACCAAGAAGCCATTACAAAATACTCACATTTCTTGGCTTGTTTGCCACATAATGATAATTTTCATATGTGTATTTGTCAGATCTCCGCTGGCGGCGCTTGAAGAGCCTGGCCCCTCTGTTGCTGAGCGTCGACAGCTCCTCCACCATGATATCCCTGGGCGTGCTGACCTTTTTCCCAAGGTTCAGGGTGGGTGAGACTGCAATGCCATGGGTAAGTACAAACCTCTGGTTGTCTTAAATGTCTGATATTCCATGCTCTGCCCCTGAAATCCAGCAACTTCTTCATGCATATTTAGCTAACACATAGCACAGTGTCACATCATGTTAGTGAAATTAAGCCTTCTTCCTGAATTTTGGAGGAGATTATTGAACACCACAAACCTGTATTCTCAAAGATGATAAGCACCTCAAGCTCCAAATTAGATCAGGTCTATAGTGTCCTACACATTATATTAATAGCAGGCTAGTAAAAACAGGCTTCTGCTAAAACTGGGAACAAAATTCCTTCTGATCCCAGGTTCCCACATCAAACCTTCAGTTAACTTTCTGTGTCCTGCATTGGATAGATAAGAGATAATCCCCTTTAAACACACCTACCGGTTTCTATTAAATGCTATTTTTAGACTTACTCTCAAAATAAAACTCAAGGTGTGGAAAATGAGTCCTAACAAAGAATTGCAACGTCCTTCTAGAAATTGATTCATTTAGGACCTTTTGGGTTTTATTCTCTTTAAGGGGAAACTGAAATACTGGATGCATATGTCTTTATTCACTACTTGGGGAAAATTTCTTCTATGTCTTTATTCACATCCTGTGGAATTTGAAAAGGAAAATGCATAAGCAAGGTAAGGGGAGATCAATCAGGATTGTAAACAGAGAATTCTGAATGTCAGAATTCCCACGGTCATGTTCATGATGGTGTTCTGGAAGCTGGGATGCTGGTGGCACTGAGCAAGCTATTGCTTAGTGACTGAACTCTCACTGAATGTCCTCAACCTAGAGACAAAACTTAAACTTTAGAACACAGAAACCTAAACGCTGAATAAACTATTTTCTATTTATTAATTTTTGCTTAGAGCATTGCAGAAATTAAGAAATATAACAATAATAAGACATTCAATGTTTCACATATTCTTATGGTCTTCAGGATTTAAAATTCTGAACTTTGACATGTATTTTAATACATTAAAATGAAATGAGGACAAATTATACATAATATGTATCCTGCTAGCAGAGTAAGCAGACAGGAGAGCCGGTTTGAAATTAACATTACAAATGAATTAGCTGCAGAAGGTGCCTAATGCCAAAGTCAATATTGCATATGAAGGGTTTTGTTTTTAGTAAATGGCATGTTCAGCCTGGCATGTGTCTCCTAGTAACTTTATGTTGGAAAAACAATGTGATGTGCTGACATTTAGAAAAACTTAATGGAGACAGATATATTAAATATTTAGCTGAAGCTGGATGGACAAGAGTTTTCCACATAGTAAATCAAACAAGTAGATGGGCCCTGGAGTGCACCCCTGTTGATCCATTTCTGTCCATACCAATTTCAACTGAACGCTTGCAGTGGACTTCAGTGGAACAAGAGCAAGTTAGCTGGATCATGAGCTGGATTGTGCACTTCTGCTTTAAAAATAGTGTGTGCAAAGAATCCTAACAACCTCCAGTTATTTAAGAGCTAGTTACAAAACAGAGCGTTCTTAACATGGGAGAAAATGACTCAGCTTGCCCAGTGTATCCCTATCAGTGGCTGATAGTGGTGGGATTTTGGCTCTGACATGGAGATAACTGTACTGGTTATTGGCCTGTGGCCTGAAATTTAGACCTCAAGTCATATTTTGATTTTATCGTTTCTCAAAATGACTGCAGGGGTAGAGACTGCTGGATGGTTTTGTATTAGCACAAAGAAAGAAATTGACCCCACAATTCAGTAGCACTTTCACATAGAAAAGCTTTTGTTGTTCGTACACAGAATGGGGAGCTTGAACATCCTCAGAGACCGAGGAGCCAAGGCAACTGTAGAGCTCTGTCCAAAGCACTTGGGATTCTTCTGGGACACTCTGGGTGTTATCTATTTTGGGCCTTGCTGTTCCCTTACATACACACTGTTCTTGTTAATGTTAACTGAAGGCTCCAAGCTACTTTGTAACCCGCAGTTGTGTACTCTTGTGTATCCAGGCAGCATCCCAAAATCATAAGTGTAAAGTTCATTTGAATTCCTTGCCAACTAAAATCTAATCATCTGTCTAGCTTTATGATGTGTCTAGGGATAGTTTCAGTGTCAGTGCAGATAAGGTGATGGAGAATGAGAGAAAGAGGACATTTAGGGGATGATAGAAAGAGAACATTAATGTCTTAGATGGACATTGAAAAATAATATTGAAAGTTTAATTCATAGTTTAATCCTAATCTTAACCTTTTAGCTTCATTTCTTTAATTTGCTCCTGCCAAGTCCTTCTTGTCCTGTGCTTAAAATCACAGCAGATTGTATTTAAATATGATTTATATAGTCCCTCCTGCATTCACTAGCGAATATTTCTTTAATCCTTCAGTTTACAATCTTCTAAATACCTTAATCTGGACTATAAACTTTAATGACAAATATTAGAAAGTGTGTTTGCTGTAGTATCAGAAATAAGGTCTTCTAACTCTATCAGGAAAGACAGTTAATCACGTAGATACTGAAGAAAGCATTTAAGAAGTAGTATAGAACTGGATATGGGATTTAAGTGGTGAACTCCAAGGGCTTCCTTAAACATATGTATTTATATACATCCAAGTTTATCAAGTAGTCTTAGAAATATTCTTATTGGTCCAAGTCTGTCAGTGACAAACCCTGGGCTTGAGGAGGTCACTGTATGCACCCACTGATTTACTCATGCAGTTTCTCTTTGAGACTATAAGAAGGTTTACAGTTGGTGTCTATTCCTACAGCATTTTATGGTGTGTCTACTTTCTCTAAAAAATAGGACAAAAAAATAGGACAAAGTCATGTCCCACAAGCCAACAGCAGAGGTGGACTTTCAGTCTTCACCAGTCTTGCCCAGAGATTGGTGATCTCAGACACTGGCAAAAATCTTGGCTGATTTTGGAGTCTGCCACCAACTTTGTGGTGTCTTTTAACAAGGAGGTGGAGAGTCACTGTTTACCTGAAAGCATTCTAATAAAAAGAGTCTGAAATAGAAGTGGAGTAGGAACACTTGCACCATTCCAAGGTGCTAGGGTTTATGGTACAGAGCCTTCTGTTATTGTGTACCTGTGCTGGCAGTGGAGAGTTTCACAGGGCTGGGAGACTGGCTGGAACTGTACATTTAGTTTTGATGGAATCACCAGTTGCAGGACTGTCATTAGGAATAGTGATTCCAAGCCCAGAGAGACTGCAGTTCACCTTCTAGATCTCAAATTAAGCTCATTGAATTAACAATTCAGAGCAAAACAAAATATCAAAAATTAGTTAAGCTGAATCTAGTCAATTAAATGCTGTATTTCTCCTTGGTTTTTCCAAGGCTTGTTCAGATTTGGTCCCAAAAAACTGGCTTATATTTTGTGTCACCACAGCTTTGGTTATCCTTCTCTTTTCTATCTGGCTTCACTGAACTTGTACAGTTATAAATTTCAGTCTCTTATCACACCCAATTCATGGACTTTCATTTTTTGTTAACACATAAATATCTCAAGCACCAGAAGAGGTAAAAATAGAATTTTACTAAGAGTTAGAATTGCCTTCAGTGGCCACATATCACAGCATATCTTGCAGGATAAGCTGCCATAACTATGAGTATGAATCTTGACAGCAAATCTGATAATACGTAAATAATAAAAGGGAAGATTATGTGAGGCAAATGTTAAGCATCAGCACAGATTATCCAAATACGCCAATGATTTCAAGGGCTGTATGCTACATTTATTAGTATTGCTATGAATAGTAGCAACATTTACCATGTGAAATGCCTGGTTCCAAACAAACATATGAAAGACTTTTTTTTCCCTTTTGCCCTGAAGAGCTTACAGGCTATTTCAGGCACATGTAGTGCTTGGGTTTACAATACCAAAAAAAAAAGGGGTTGTAATGAAATCTGGAAGGACAGACTGGCTTGCAGATTTGAGTGCATGTTCAGTGAAGAATTGAAAAAGGAAAGAGGTATTTGTTTAGGAATAGAAACTTCAGGAAAAAACCTCTGGAAATATCAGAAGGAGTAGGACCAGGCAAACTTGTAGCTTCTTGTTCTAAAAAATTCTTAAGTCCCTCACCCTACTCTTCATGTAATCACAATGGTCATCAAGTGAGTGCAGAAACCATCCACAAGTTTTTTGAAACAAAAGCACACTGGAAAGATTTTCAAAACTGGAATTCCATGTTCGATATTTCATCCCATGAAAGTGGTATAACTCTCATAAATTCTAAATATTAATGCAGCTCCCTGTGGTTGCAGCTAGGCTTGAGGGGTGCTTATCACTTTTAGAAAATTAATCATTTTATGTAAATGGTAAAAGAGGCTTCATGGGCAGGATTGGAAGGCTCTCCAAAAGCATCCAGCACATGCCTAATGAAAGCCAAGCAGATTTTTATTCCCACTGGAGTTAATTGCTTCTTAAGGTATCATGCTAGAAGCATAACTTCAAGAACCTTTTTAGAAAATCAAACAACCTTCCAAAAAGGGCCTTCACTTCCATCAGTGCAACTACAGAGAAGTAGAATTTCTGTCAAATAAGGTTATTTGGTGGCTGTGCATTAGAGAGAATGCCAAATTCTAGTAAAATGTGTTAGTTACAAAGACAAGATCTGAGAGGAATGGAGATGTGAACATTTGTTTCAAATTTTTTTATCATTTATATAAAAAGCAGAGTGAAACAGAGCAAAAAAAACCTAACAAACCAAGAGGGTACAGATCATTATGTTTCTTAGATGATAGCCTTTTAATGTGGAATGAAGTCATGTTATTAACCCCAAATAATGTTCTGAAAGGCTATCCTAGCAGAATGTACATCAGCTGTTAGATTACTTCATTCCTCCACAGCAGTTGTTCATCTGAAAATAGCTTTCAAATGAAAAGAGGCAACTACAAAAGGATTAGTTACCATAGGCAGCATGATACTCCCACAAGATTATTTATGGCAAAACACCCAGAGACAAAGCTGTAAAAGAGTTAAACTCTGTGATTAAAAAAAAAATGTATTAGGGAGGGCTAGAGGACATTGCATATGCAGTAAGCTGGGTTCAGTGCTATACCATTTCTGTGTATTTCATCCATAATGGCTGATGCTTGCTCTTTCCTCTCTTTGGCCAGGGCAGAATCTGATAACATTGTGATTTTCTGACACGACTTTTCCTTGCTGCAAAAAAACAACACATTTTTATATTGTTGAGCCAGCGCACACAGTTTGGCCGACTTTCATTTCCAGTAGCCTGTTTAGAATGGCTGAACAGTGAAGTCAGGGGTTTCTGCCTGAGAAATACTGCACTGCAAAATGCACTGGCAGTTCTTGCTTGCAGACAGATGTTAGGACATGTTTTGATGGATAGAAGATTCAAAGGAATGGACTTTGAGTTGGTTACATAAATTCTTCAGCAAAAATCAGTGTCAGTGGTATAGGCCTTCTCACATCTACTTGCTATACCTCAAGATGTAAATTCCTAACTAGTTTTAATTTACATCTTGGTTTATGTTTTCAGAAATGCTACATTTTGAAATTTCTTAATCTAATAAAGAATCTGAGGAGTGAAACTAGTTCCTCTGGCATCTTTAAAGGAGATGCATTTCTGACTAAGTAAAAATATAAACATCTGTTAAGTTGCAGCGTCAAGAGGTTACATAAATGTCTTGTATATGACAGTTTGTAGGACAGACAATGTCAAAACATTTCAGGAAACAATACACTTACCCTACTGTTTTGTTGTGCAGATAAAAAGCGATGTCAACCCTTTAGCTGAGGCTTCAGAAGTTAGTTATGCATGGGGATGACCTGCCTGGTCCTGGATGGTTTGTACCCTTGTGCTGGGATCTGCATGGTACCTAGTACTGAGACAAACTGGGGGGCTGATCCTCTCCAAAGGGGTTGGCATCCTGCTGACATCAACCAGTTATATATAGAACCAAACACTCCAGCCACTCATATCTTCCTGGCAAAAGAAGAGAACAGAAAAGATTCAACTGCACCCACAACAAAGAGAGGTTATGTCCCTTTCAGAGCTTATTGAAAATTTGGTGGAATGCCCCCCCTGATGTACAGATCATCTCCTCATCTTCTCATCACCCCTGAGAATTATAATCTGTGTGTTATAATCAGGAAGGAGACATTTAAAAAGAAGGTGTTAAGTGTATAGATAGGCAAGACTATAGCAGATGAGAATGGCATGGGCTAATCCTTCAGTGAAAGATGAAACCCTGCTCCTGTAGGGGCTGATGGCTAAAGTCAGTGGCAGATGGCTGATATACAGAGGCTGCTCTGCAAAAGAAATGAGATTTTCTTCAGCATTATACGTGCTAGGGAGTAATTGCTCGACAAGCACACGCCTCGCAAACTGTTACTCAAAATCCCTTCACTTTCTTTGAGCACTGGGGACAAAAAACCTTCAGCAATTTGAAGCTCACTAATATCCAGCATTCCAGGATAGTGTTGTGTCAGTTTATCAAAGAAATGTGTGATTTGTAGTGCACAGATATTTCCAGACAGCGACCAACTTTGGACAGAATAAAACAGCGGCAGAAGAGAACATTCCCCCCTTGCCCTCCTGTCTGAATGCAGATAGATGAATTTTGGGGCAGCAAAAACAAGATGAAGTTCTTCTATTTCTGATTTGGATTTGAGTTTGTTCTAGGAAGTTCCTTTTTGTCATGGAAAATCATGATCTAATTTGGCTTGGAGGATTGATCAGAAAATTGCACCTATTCTGGCTTTAAAGGGAATCTGGAGAGTAATAAAATAAACCAACACCACCTGCAAACCTTTTCCAGCAAGAAGCACTTTGAGGTAGATAATATTTATGTGCCTGATCCAATGTCCTGAAAATCTGCCTATCCAACTGAAAAATTGCATTATTTTTCCCTCAAGCTTTCTCTTCCCTTTGCTTAGCTTTGCAAAACATATTTCTGAGATCCTGGCCATCTCTGCCCAAAAGAAATGTTCATTTAAATCCTCACCATCAGAACTGACCCGCTGTTCTTGCTGATTAGTGATTTTTTTCTAGCTTTTGTGCCTGGATCAGACACTTTTAACAGTACTAACAACCATGGTCACAGTCTTGGTTGAATTTACCTATTCAACTAGCAACTTTGAATAGTCTCGGTGCTTCATCACCAGCCTGTCAAATGGCACTGAAGGGAAGAATTTTAATGTCAAAATAGCCTGATGAATTGGGGGGGGTGAGGTGGAGGGGGTAGAAATCAAATGCAATTTAGAAAACCATATCCAAAAGCAATTATAAAGTGGGCATTCATCTGATTGGCACTGACTTAAATGTTTAATCCAGGAGGAAATATCAAGAGGCATCCCCAATGGGATAGTCTCATGTTTAGTCTATTCCAATTCCCATTAACTAATTATTTAATACAATAAAAAGTACATCAATGTTATTGTTTTGAAGCTGAGCATTAAAAAAATCTTTGTAGCGTGACTATCCTAGAATTTAATTCACTACTTAGTAGTGTGTGAAGATTTAATAAAAGTAGAAATAAGCATGTCATTGCAGCTGAAATAAAGAATATGTATCTGTCATGACTGCAAAACTAGAACTGATCCTGTTCAATGCTGATGTCCTTTATAATGCTCAAAGAGGGTCAGGACACCATAAAATACACCAAGTTGCTGAAACATCTTTCATATATAATTGTGACTAGTAAAATGTCCATCATTATTAGTAAAAGCTAAGGAAGGTGAAAGAATTCAAGTGCCATGTGACATCATCTTAAAAATTAAACCCTGCGTGTCAATGAGAAGAACTATTGTATTGTATTAGCAAACTAGGATGTTTAGTCAGCCTTGTAACAGAGGCACTATTTTCCTGTCTTCTTCATTTAGGGCATTTTTATTTAACCAAGTAAGATTTGGTTAAACTGCTTTTATTTGACTAAAAGACTTTTCCTTTGAGTCTGGTCTTTTCTGACACTTTGTGGGTTCTTTCCCACCACATGGCTTCCTCTAAATTGCATAATTGACCAGAAAGGACACCCAGGCTGGCAAGTGGAAAAAGCCTGAACTATTTCTCCCTCGTTTTCTCTCCTTTTCCGTCCTTTGCCTCTTCTCTCATCTCCGCAGAGACAATTTAAATGCTGAATAAAGCCCCAGTTCTTAACAGGTGCTTAAATTCAACCTGAGGCTGTGACTGCCATGTCTGCCTAACTTCATGCCATGAATTTAAAGCAATTAACTACTCAGGCTCTTAATGTATCTGTCGTGTATAATTCACAATATGAGCAATATATATCTGTAAAAAGGGAGCTATAATTACTAGACAACAGCCAAGTTGCTGTTCAACTAATGATGAAACTGATGTTTTAGTATTCTGTGTCCATCTGTGCTTCAGACAGCGATTTACAGGTCTGTCTTATTGTAAAATACCTGGTTGGAGCCAGGTAGGCACAAAGTGCCAACTCTTGCTTTTAAAAATTAAACCGGTCCTTTTTTTGGAGATAAACTGCCAACAGTTGCGTTTTTCAAATGAAACTGGCCCCCATAGATCTAAGTGTACTTGTAGTCCTCTTTTTACTTAAATTCTGAACCTAGGCCTCCTACATGTGTTGCAAATGAGACCAAGTGCTGTTGTCATCAATTATTTCATGAAATACATCTTGCAGTCTGACTGAGGCAGTACAGGGTTCCCTATTTCCACTTCTAAATTCAAAAATATTGGAGTGAAAAAAACATCCAGTATAGAGTTATCTGGAATATCCTTCTCTGCCTATGAAAATTGTGGGGAAAGCCTTTTTTTAAAAATAAGTCCAGTTTGATTTTTTGCTTAGGGATTTTTTTTTTTTCAGATGAAAAATGAAATATTTTAATTTCAATTATATGCTTCATTGGTACTTTTTCTGTAGCTACATTGAGCAGACTAACAAAAGATCATCGCATTTGAGGTATTGATGTATTCAATAACATATAATCAATAATTTGATAGGCTTTAAAAATATTGTTACTGTTGTCTTTCTGTTCAGGATCCAAACAATATAATTTTTTATCTGGAATTCATAGGAAGACATTCTATAATTTAGTATATGATTTAGTAATCTCACTATCCTCAAGTTCTTTTAAAACAAATGGGATGGTCTATTTTGTAGAATTTACGTTTTCCACATTGGGCTCAGTAACAATTGACATAAAAGCCTGAGAAAAAAGTCCCCTTGTTTTACCTGCATTTTCTGTAACAGAAGAAGACCTAAAGGAGGATGACAGATTAATACTGCTCTTGCTCACAGGCTGTCAGGCTGGTTTAATTATCTTAGCTGTTAAATAATACTTCTCACTGAAATTCATGGTTCAATAGGTACAACTCATTGGAGACTCTGCTCTGTGTTTGACTGAAGTTAAATAATCCGTAAAAAATAGGAGAATTTCTTCAGTGGCATTTCTTCCATGCTGTGGGATCTTTCTGCATTTAGTACAGACACGTGGGAAATACATTTTCTGTGCAGAGGTGGGGATGGAGCTTCATTTTTGGAGACAAAAATACTGTGCCTCTACTCTCCCTGAGAGTGGGAAACCTGTCCCAGCCCCTGGGGCTGGGCTGCTGGTGTGGGTATGGCTGTAATCCAGCCTACAGGGACAGCAGATATGGGGTGACTCCTCAAGGTTTATTACTTCCAGTTGTCTGCCACTTTCATGCTTCATTCCCAGTCGAAATAGGCATTTTAAGAAAACATAAAGCTGACAGCCTGATTTAATCCCCAGGGCTAAGGCCACAAGCAGCAGCCTGTGCTGTCAAAGACTTAATCAGAGCCAGCAGCTGGCCAGGGAGCTTTATTTCAGTACGTGCATGTTCTGATGGTCACTGATTGAAAACTCCTTCATTTCTGTGGGTGGTCCACCTCACTGTGAGCCTGACATACTCTTTGGGGTTGTTTTATTCTTCCATCAAAAGGATACAAGTATTCTCCCTGCTTGCATCAACATTGCAGTCTGACATTGTGTCACCAGCATGGAGAGTGCTTGAGTAAGGGGCTCTTAAAGAGAAGATCCTTTCTTCTTAAATACTGCAGGGCACGCACATCTTTCTCACAGGTTCGTGTTTGTTTAGAGATAAACCCTTTTCATTCTGCATTCAATTCCAAATTCTTTCTCCATACCTAAAGAATCTATTTAGATGCCTTCA